AGACTGAATTTCATATAAAGTTGAATCATTAAATATCCATCTGATTGTTGTACCGAAATAGAAAACTTCAAACATAAACTAATTCAAGTTGACTAATAAGACAAGTCAGATAGTTGATATTAATTTTTTTAATTTTATTTCGAAAAATGAATATTTAAGCGAACAATTGTTTTCAAACTGCATCATCAGGTTCTACAGTTGTAAGTCCATAATTATATTTTACAAAGGCCAAAATAACGCATTTATTAGTGAACTTGACAATGTTATATGTTACAAATGGTTAGAAACTTCGTAGTAGAAGGCATTAAAAATAACAAAATGTGACTCAGTCAGTAAAAAAAACCCTATATCTGGAACTGGACTTTAAGGGGAACATAGCGGGTGATATTTTAACATGACTCAGAAGATCTGTTTAAAGGACGTTTCACGCTGCCAAACTACATATAATTTTCTCAACTAAACCAGCACTTCCACAACAAATCAAGGATAGGTTACCGATGATGGGCTCCTCCATGTGTGTATACCAATTCAACTGCTCCTATGAAGCTAGCTATATAGGCCGTACTCAGAGGGCTTTATCCTTGCGTGTCTGTGAACATGTACCAGCATGGTTGGGAAAAGGAGTTGCTAAATCGACCAACAGCACTATTCTGTTTCATTTGGTAGATAGTGAAAAACGTATCAAAATGGAGGAAGTTTTCTCTGTTTTGGATCAAGTTCCAAAAAATTACTTCAAGGAGCTAGATTACGGCTACTCTACAAAGCCGAAGCCATCTGGATCACTTCTAGCAAACCAAACTTACGTATCTATAAAATGTATATCCAGCCTCTATGTTTGCCTTAGCCTACAACTGGATCACCAGACACCTAAACTGAATATCATAAACCTCGTACCTCCTCACTTTTTTTCGAAGTATATATGTCGTAACAGATGCAAATGTTCACCATTTTTAACATATAACAAATTCATCAATACATGCGTCATTTTGGTCTTTGTAAAGTATTATAGTTATGGACTTATAACTGTAGAGCCCGATGATGCAGTTTGAAAACAATTGTTCGCTCAAACAATCTTCATTTTTTGAATACTTTATTTCAATAAATATTATAGTACACTTGATAGGTGGCTAATAGTGCAATCAACGACTGACGCTTTGTCTCATTGAAGACTCGTCAGTTAGATGTATATGCATTCTAGTGTCTACACTCTCACTAGGACTCAAACCTAGTACTTTTATCTTCGATGCCTCACTCACCTGAGATATTGAGTCTAGATGACTATTAACTTATTCAAGAAGTATAAGGGTATTACCATGGATTTGTAATCTGTAGTTGTCGATACTCAGTTATGCGAATGATCAATTCCTATTTCCATAGGTGAATATTGCCTGAATCATACCTTTCTCCTGTTCCCAACCCTTTAAATGTGTAATTATACATGTTATGATTTTATTGCTTTAGTTATTCTCCTATAGTTTATAAATGATAATTATAATAAACTTAATGATTTTTCGGTTCATTTTTTCATTGTTTGTTTCAATCTTCCCATTGATGTCTGGGATTGTAATAGATCAGTGTTTTATTGATTTTTGAATGTCCACCTGTACGGTAAACTGTTGTACTGATCAAAAGGCAATTATTGGACCATGGTTGTTGTTAACAATCACTTTAATAGATTCTTTGAGAAGGTATGACAGGAATTTCGAATTTTTTTACGTAGCTGATTCAGACACGTTAAATATCGCAACCTATCTGTATAATTTGTCACACAATACCGTTTGGGCTGTAAGCGAACGCTACAAGTAAACAAAGTATTCGCTACTTCTAGGTACATATAACGTTACGATGGGTTAGCTAACTGTCTATTGAATGATCAAAATCCAAATTGTAAGCCGTATTTACCGTTTACTCATACTTCACAGATACAAAAAGCAATCTATATAAATGACAGTTGTTCATATGACAACTTTTTTTCTGTAAAACGATATCTCATAGATCCTACCATTCCAAAGGCGGAAAATAAAAGTTCACTAAAAAACTGGCCAACTAAAGAGTGGCGCTTTCCTAAATAACTATTACTTTTGGAGTAAAGCTTAAACTGTCTTGTACAACGACTTATGTTTGATTGTCATATACCGATACCTATCAATCCAATGGTCTACCTAAATTTCTTATATCTAAAGTTTCATTAAGTTATTTGTCTAAGTTATAATTTTTAGACCTCATCTTTACGTTCACAGATTATTGATCTCAATAGTACTTGGACTTTCTGAGTCAAGTTGCTGACAGAACCATATAACTAGAAGTCTAACTTACGGATTATAAGCTCCCTGACTAAGTGATCTAATTCCGTAACACTTCCCACCAGACCCGGTCCTGAATTCAGATTCGGGAGCTGGCCGTAGGTGCACACTGCTAATGAATTTCAAACTAGGACAGAAAACTTACTCAATACTCCCTGATTCTTATTAGTATCTGTTTAGATGTCAGTACGTTATGAGAAATAACTTCAAATCGCACAATCTTCATAAGTTATCTGCTCTTCTAAATAACATTTATTCTTTCCTCTCAACACTACATTCACTCCTTGTTAGAACCTTCTTGGGATTAATTTATCAGTAAAAACATAACGTCAAATCTAAAGATCTAAAACTGTTAATTATTAAGAATCGTCAATCAAGTGACATTTTCATACAATCAAAATTATTACAAGCAAATATCCAATATTTAGTAAAATTGGCATTTGTCATGGGATATAATAAGCTGGAATCAAAGTAAATTATTGGCTTAGTACTACCCACTAACTAATATGGTGCTCATATTGCTGTTTATCTGGCATCTAAAACTAATTCACAATACATTATCTAAATAACTTTATACGTAAGTTCTGAGAGTTTGCTGTTTATCCTTGTCTCAGCCGTCGCCCCTTGATACAATACCACCTTGTATACAAAAATGTGACATAATTACGTGGACATATCACTATACCGTGTAGATTGATGTATAAATTTTTAGAGCATTAAGGATGTAAAATCTAAGCTAGACTGCTTTTTCGGCGAAAAACAATATGAGGATAAATATCAGTCATGTACTTGTTAAAAATAATGACAGTCGAGAAATTCTGCTTGAGTTACATATTACTTTAAGATATTCAATTTTATAATAAATACCAGCCAGAGTAAATCTAGTTATCCGGATATAAATTAACAAGTCACAAGATTAAACTAGTGCGAGATTTCTTCGAATGTAAATTGACAATTATTTCAGTCATCAAATAATCTATAGAAAATAAGTCGTACATCATTTGAGTATTTCATGTTAGTCTATTTCTCTAATGGGCGCTTTTACTCAAGGACTAACTTGTTAATATTTATCTTCTTTAAAAGAATGTAATCATACCAAGTAGAACTGACTCCTTAATGCTTGTATGACGTTTTTGTGATAAAAAAACAACTGATCCAAAAAACAATTAAACTTTAATTATGATCCCTCGAACTATACAGGATTACGGTGAGCAATATCATATGATACACAGATGCTAGAGATGAAATTTTGGCTGCTTGAAACAAATTACTTCAGTAATCTAGAGTTGGAAGCATCTAACACACTAATTAATAAATCACGTTCTTAAAACTACCAAATTGTAGTTTAATTACTGTGATGATTTGACTGGAAATCAGATGAAATAACCTAGACTATACTTGTGTATACACATTTTGAAAAAACCCAGAGAAACAATAGCAAAAAAAAACACATGTATGTAAATATTTATATGTACTAAAACCATCATAAATGATGTGATATAACATTATCAAATACAAACAACGGCGGTAAACATCATGTTCACCCTGCAAATACACGATTCAATATTAAATGAATTTAAATGAACAACAAATGAGAGAGAAGAAACAACGTCGTCAAACAAATTTGCAAGAATATTGCATATATAAGAAAGAATAATATTAATAACAAAACTCAGTGCTGTCACTATTGTTCGCTTATCAGTACTAGTGAGCCATCTTACCATTTTATACTACTTCAAAAGAAGAAGTACACGATATGTATATATAAGGTTGATTTCACAGCCCTGTATGTGTGCATGTCTTTAGTAAATTTATATTAGAAAAAAAAACAAAGGCAGAAAAATTTTAAAGTACATCACATCATAAAGATTTTTTTCTCCTCTCCACGTTGAGGAACACAGCCACCGAAACAAAGATTTTTGAATCCCACTATTATGATTATTAAGTGAATTAGGAAAACAAATATCTATCAAAAATGAACGTAAAATGAACATTGTAGCTATACGCATACAAGCGTTACACACATACACACACACACTAAGTATTTGTACTATAATGATAATTATTCCATGAATTGATATGTTTCGTAATAGTACAAATTATCGATAGAAGTAAAAAGTAAACAGGAAAACAAAACAGAAAAAATACCATTAATTGTGAAAAAAAACAAGTTATGCTAAAAATGAGAAAATACTCATCAAAATTAATAATATATAGCAAAAAAACAAACAAATAAGCACAACAACAGTGTAATGTAAACGTGATATGCATGTGTTACATAAGATGAATGAACGGATATATATATATATATATATATATATATATATATATATATATATATATATATATATATATATATATATATATATATATATATATATATTTGATATGTGGTTACACCAATCGGAATTTCTTGATTAAAAAAAGACGTAAAGAATAGGAGGCAATCACAGCCAGAGTTCGTCAACAGGATTGTCACATAATCCTACTAAGTTAATACTTTCTTTTTTATAAAAGATATATGATTTGATATGTCAATGTTAATAGTTGGTAGTGATAATGTTCGTTAATAAAATGACGTGATATGTAATTAAATGTAGTCAAATAATTGAAAAACAAACAAATACAGAAAACATTCACAATGATGAAAGATCAAATGCAACCGGTCATTTCTTCCACTTTCTTTTTCTAATTTTTAAACTAATCTCTAGCACAGATAGACATATACATTATATGTAATTATTACTGTTATTTATTGTATAAGAGAAACATACATAGAGGTTAATAATGGTCGTCATACTATTAGCAAAAACACAAATACAATTATGTCTTGTTGTTGTTGTTATTATTATTATTACAAAGGGGATGGGAAAGATTAAAAAAAAATTGTCTCGTAGGTCCATTAGTACATTTAATAAGTGTAACTTAGTATATATTTCATACAAAGAGATAATTTCATCAGTCAAAAATTCGATTAAATCATTTCAAAATAATAGAAGAGAACGAAACTGCACCATACATAAACTGACTATTATTAATATTATCATCACTATTATTAGTAGTAGTTGTAGTAGTAGTAGTAGTATCATGCTAATTCTGTTGAGCCACATAAACACCAAACTGAATAAAACACTGATTATTCGAAAAGCCAGATGACCCAATAACGTTTTTTTTATTGTTCGTTTGCTACTAAATGCACTAGGAAATGCTGCCCATGTATATACGTATCGTTAGTAATCAGGAAGTTATGGTTCACATATGTAATGTTGATTAAACTTGAGAATTGAATAAGAGAATAGTGATGATGACGGTGACGATGATGATGATAGTAATAATAATAATGATAATAATAGTAGTATTAATAGTAGCGATAACAATAATAATACCATGGTTTAAATTAATGGAAGCGTATAATTAATGTTCAGTGTTTTGTTAAACAGTATAATTTCACATCTAATAATACAAACTATTTAAGTACACAGTTAGTTACCACTTTGGTGTTTCTTCATATGTAAAGTAAGGTGATCACTGCGTGCAAAAGCTCGATGGCATGTTCTACACTGAAATGGTCGATCACCAGTATGTTTTCTGTAATGACGTGTTAATTCATCTGATCGAGCGAACCTCCAAGCACAACCAGGCCAATCACATGGAAAAGGTTTTTCTCCAGTGTGTACACGCATATGAGCTTTTAGATGTGAACTCTTAGAATATGCTTTTGCACATGTGCTAAAAGGACAAGTATGAATTAAAGCTATTGACTTTTTAGTTCTACCGGTGGAATTACTTCCACTTCCTTTAGTTGAAGTATCACCCTTAGTTTTATTGGTACGTGTCCGACGCATAGGTATTAACGGAACTTCCCCAGGTCCACCCATGTTACATCCAAGAATATCCTGATGAGATTCAATTCCTAATTCTATAGCTGAACTTTTATTTCTACCGATATTATTAATGTGGGTAGAAACTAATGAAGAGTTCCGGTAAACAGGATTATCACATGTGGTATTTAGTGGTCCAAATCCAAGATTTTGAGTGGGTGATACAGCTCTTGGTGCTAGTACTCGAAAAGTTGTGTTCACTGGAAGATTTGTATCATCAATTTTATACATATTCATATAATAACTTGCATTTTGTGTTGCACTGCGGTAATCTTGCATATTATTGACAGCATGTACTGTACTATTATCATTTATGGTATTTATAACGGAACAAGTTGGCGGCATAGGATGAAGTTGAGAATGATCAACTCGATTGTTTTGCGGTAGATAAACAGTTGCGATATTGTTTTCAGTCATAATATTACCATTGACAGCGTTAGTAAGATTTGCAACATTGGGATAAAACCGTAAAGAAGATTGCTCTTGATTTTGTAAACTTGACTGACAGTTTTGGTATGGATCTACTGGTGGCATATCTGTTGTTGGAATAACCGAAGGCATATAAGCAAGAGAAGAGGAAGAATGCTGAGATTGCAATTCCCCAGTTCTTGAATCATTTGTAGTTTGCATATAATGCCCTGTATCTAGTACTGCACTACAATTTGAATTATAGTTGCAGTTATTCGGTACATTTGTAGTCCAGTTATATGAATTATTTTGATTGATTTCTGAACAATGTTTATATTCAGAATTTTCCGGAAAAATAGGCTCTTGTTTTATTTCAATTGGTGAATTATTTGAACCAAGGTCATAATAATACTTTGTATTTGAATTTCTAAAAGAATTAGAATTCTGTGAACAGATCACATCTGAATAAACAGGTCGTAGTTGAGATACTGGCGATTTAGCGAAAGAATAATTAACATTCATAACAGAATTAGAATAAGTGCAATTATATAAATTATTAGATACATTATTTGCTTTTTGTGTAGCGCTATTCTCAAGGATAAAATCTAAATCGAGTAAACTTTCATATTCATTACTTGAAGTACTACTGCTACATTGTTCTGTACGAAAACTACTACCAATAGATGAACAATGTTCTGAAGTTGTAGGTGATGTTAAACCTGAGAGATTGCACATGTAAGTTCCTCGTGACTAAAAAATAAAATAAAATGCTTTTTTTTTATTAGATATAAATTGATATGTAGTATCTAAAAAGATGATCTATAGACTTGTATAATTAACAGGATACTATAAAAAATTACAATAGACGATTGATTAAATACAAATAAATACGCTCCATTGAATACTTAACATCTAATCAAAATTTTAAAATATCTTGGCTCCTGTTTCTCCTCAAGAATTTCATTTGATGAATAAGCTAAAATAAATTTGTTAGTGATTCATTTTATATGTCATATAATATGTCGATTAAACTCAGTTATATCCTTGCAATAAATAATAGTTTACAACAAAACAAAAAAACGCTGATAATAATTCCAAGGTTATAAAAATGTAGAATTTATATTAAAATCAATTCACAATACAAAAAAAAGGAGAGAAAAGAAAAAAGAAAAATATGTAACTGTGATTACCAATAATCTAAGAATAAAAATCATTTTTGAAAAATCTGTTGAATAAAAAGTTAATGCTACAGGGGGGGGTTGAACATTTATGATTTAAATCTACTGTACTGTTATGGAGATAATCCATTTGGTTGGTGAAAAAAATTTTTTAATTTGAATCATTGTTACTCAAATGAGTATTAAAATACGAGAAGTTTAGGATAACTCTGAACAAATCTTCAAAGTAAAAGTATGACTTTTTCACAAGTTTAAATCATGAGTCAGTTGAAGCTAGACCACCATTGAAAACCTGGAAGCACTGGGCGGCTGTTTCGTCCTGGTATGGGACTCTTCAGCAGTGCGCATCCACGATCCCGCACCACGCGGGGCTCGAACCCAGGACCTACTGTCTTCGCGCGCGAGCACTTAACCATTAGACCACTGGTCAGTGATTTAAACCTGTGAAATTTCTTAAATTCTCCACAAAACCCATTCTGATAGTATGACTTTTTATTTTTCCAGAAGCTAAAATTGAAAATTATCAATTGCCGATTTTTTTATAGTAACGTATTAAATTATTTTGTTATTTATTTATTTGAACATCAAACACATGCGCCACACAATAACAATGAGGTCAGTAATAGTTATTATTAATTTGTGTGAGGACTGCCCAGGGGCTCGAACCAAAGGATGTAGGTGTTAGAATTTAAAGTAAACTTATCGTTTGATGTTAAAATTATTATCCAAATAATTTTACACAAAAGATTATTGGATTCTTTTTTTAAAAAAATTGGCCTATAGCTTTCATGTAAATACACCCTTGTTATACTATGCAAATGTGTCATCAAAATAACTTCCAACTAAACTCCTTTATGTAAGTAATTTAAGCCTGTTTTGTGATTATGTTTTTTAAATATCAAAAGTTGTAGGTAGCTAACTAGAATCAAACGAAATAAAATGAATTCGAATTATTCTGCTAAAATGTTTTGTTCTTGCTCTCTTCAAAAAGTTCCTCATATAAGAGATTTAACTGATTTTTAAAAATTATGCATAACTATTTTTAACAGCCATCTATCCCGAGTGTAAAGTAGTTGTTTAGTACCTAAACCATTAGACTGTAAATTTGTAACTCGTTCCTTCCTGTTAGTTATCTACTAACGTTGCACATCATATAACGAATACTATATATTTTATCTCATCATTACGATGTATAGCTAAACTAAACAAAACAGATTAACAATTAATCAAACACCTGTAACAGATTTCGGAAAGTTTATATAAAAATCTCCGTAAATAAAAAATATTGTGTACATCATAAGTGAAGTTGAAAAAAAACTTGTCTAGTACTTGAAAGCAGTTGAAAATTATGCGTAATCAAATCTTAATATCAAGGAAAATTATGTCAACTTTTAAAACAACACCTACAGTAACTGTGGAAGTTGATATTGTTGAGATAGAAGTGAAGAATAAAAAAGTTCGAGTGAAAAGTCAATACTCAATACAACATATAATCAGATGTTACTTTGACGTATATTTAAAGATAAGAATCTTCAAAAACCACTTTCTTTATATAAAAAAACCCAATAACTTATCCCCTTAATAGTAAACGATACGATTAATGGGGGGGACCGAATTCAATAAATCAACAATTCAGTCAACTGATACATCTCAGAATAACATAATATAAAGTATTCCGTGAATATCCATTGCATTTATAACAATATATCAATACAATCCATTATGCTTTTCACAACCATATATCAAACGGTTGAATTTATGAGTCGATCTAAGCTAGACCACCATTGAAAATCTGGAAATACTGGACGGCCGTTTCGTCCCGGTACGAGACTCCTCAGCAGTGTGCATACACGATCCCGCATACGGGACTCAAACCCTAAACTGTCGGTATCGCGCGCGAACACTTAGACTCTAGACCACTTGGTCGGCATCCAACGGTGTTAATGTCTAACTTCAATCAATTCATAACCTTGAGCAACCCTTCATCTATTGTGGTGGATAACTGTCTCCAGCCATCACGGAATGGACTCCACTGGTTACGGCTTCTCACTCGAATTCCAGACGATCCATCTTGAAGCTAGTCACTACTGAGAACATGATAGTTGCAAATATTTTTAATACCCTGATATGAACACCATATATATTATTTAAAGGCTTTTAATCATAGATTGTTTTGTTCTTTGATTGTTACTTTTTGTCGTTGAAAGAAAACAACATTTGATGATGACAGTATTCTGTCAATATAGACAAGAAATGAAATAGTAACATTAATCAAATGGGCTCAGTGAACATACATGTAGTTCAATCCAATTAAAAAAGTTGTTATTTAAATTGTCATTTACAATAATAATTGTAATAAAGACATATTTATCAACCAAGATATTAGCACGCTTAACATAATGAAATCATTGCTATCATTACATTAAAATCATTTTTAAATATACAACTTAGTGAAACATGAAATTAAATAAATAGTAACTACATAATTAACGACGACTGAATTTCAGTATGACTGAACATAGTAACTGATATACTATTTAATAAAATAGTCGTTATTTCAGTACCATAAATAATTGATGGTGTAGACCAGAGAAAAAACTTTAGATGATCATAAAATATTGTCCAATCTATCCATTTTTCATGGTTAGTGAACTTAACTTAATAGCATATTCAAAGAAAAACAATCAACAAGTGACATAGGTCTTCAAATTGCCTATTAGAAAAATATACGATCTCCTAGCAATTAATCAATATAATATTTAACAAATACAACTTAGTCAAAACACCAAAACAAAATGTTCACTGCACCAAATATATACCAACAAACAACTTAGTTTTCATTACTCAGATAATAGTCATATTATAAATGTTGATAACAATTAAGATTTTAGTTTGATAAATACTAAATACAATCAATAAGTAAAAATGGAACCAACTTGAAAAACTCCAATGATGAAGTTTTAGTTACAAGTAGATTCAACAAACTGTTTCTATCAATAAATCCTTTGCAGTTAACCACATATTAATAGTTTCAATAAAATGAAACAAACACTAGTCCATAAGTTCAATAAGATCAATATTACTATAAAGAGGTGGAACTATAATACATAATCCTAATAGGTTGAATAATAAGTTTAATAATCAGTCCTAGAATATGGTCGAAGTGAAAACAGTCTAATAAGGTCTTTAGTGGTATTAAAAATGTAAAACAGTAACATGACATCTATCCGTTCACTAAAACTTTACAAATACAATTTATGAGATAATGTGATCGAGAATACTATCATAGTAAATAAATATACATCTCCACAACTTGAGAATTCGAATTCTTTAAAGTACATGGTGTTTTCCGCCTATTATACTTGAAACTTTATGTTACATAAATCAAGAAAGTATTTCACGCACTTCCGTAGTATATATGAAATGATGCGATGGACAGGAGTTAGCAAAATTCCCAATCTTGATCAATTATCTGCTATCTAAGTATCGCGATGATAATATATTGGTCTAATGTTTTTCTAATTAAATGACAGCTTTAATGAACATCAACTGAGCAGTGGCTCTCTTATGAAAACTATTCGTTTGTAGGTTGATTTCGTGAAAAATGACCAGTTCAGACATTTCAGAAAGTCAATCAGTTATACCTGCTGTCATTATAGAAGTCGACTCAATACCATTGAGCTAACACTTACAATAAAATCATTTGGAATAAAGGAAATTTCGATATGGGTCAGCAATATTTCCACCATAAGATATTAATCATTAACCCTTGTTTAACATATTTATAGTAAATGAAATTTAATCGAGAATTGATATGACTTAATATCTTTTAACAGTTGAAATATATGAAATTCAACTATGGAATTTAGAAACCATACAAATCATAGTCTATGGTAATTATGTGAAGTGTTTTAGTTGTATACATTAAAAATTTTTTAACAGAAGATAGCAGAAACCAGTTACATATAACAATAGTTTATAAATTCGAAACTTCATTGTAACACATTATCAGCTTAGGGATAGTGCAACTCAGTGTTATCAGAAACGCTGTTCAGAAGAGAAATCAATGGCTATCCTGATGTAATTTTTATGTACTCTCTTCATAAAAGTGAAAATAATTCATACAAATAAAAGGCTTTTCCCTTTTTGTATTTTTCATTCCAAACTGTCTCTCCTATTATAAATTTTTCTCGTTCATTTATTTTATTATCTTCATATCCATCTATTTATTTTGATTATACTAGCCCACGTTCAATCATCTCAATATCTTATGGTTGTATTTGTGTGTTACATATTTACTTTGCTGGTCACTTATACCAATATCAGTCAGTCATTCAGTAACAACGTAGAACTTTGTATGTACGTATATCAGTTCGAGTTGCCACACCACATTAGCACAGAGATGCAGTTGTCGATTCAAATCCTGTGTGTTCAAATAAATACATGAATATCAATACAAGAAAATAAGCGTAAAATCAATGCAAAATCCTATTTGGACTCATTAGAATTAAAAACTTCACACTAATATCAATAACACTTCAGTTCAGAAGGAATATCTACTTTTTTCAAAAAGTAGAAACACATTATGAATCATTATACTTCTCTGATACATGGTTCTGATTATTAACTGCTCAAATATTTTCTAACACCATTATGTAACTCCAAAATTTAATTACCTTAGAGATTATAACAATTTATAGATGTTAATGGAAATGAATTTTTCTTTCGTTAAACATTTCCTTTTGGTTTAATGTTGCAGATAGTTCATTAGAATTTCGAACCTGTATACCGTAAATTTAGTTTATTCATTATGACACTATATAGTTCATTCTAATTCTTCATATAAAATCATAAACTTCAACTTTCAGAGTATAAAATTTCCTTGTAAAAATAAAACCATAAATCTAATTTGATAAATCTATGTATAAACTTGATATACTTCATATGAATGCATATGGTATACCTGTGATCAGATTGAAATCCCTCAACGTATAGATAATTTGCATATAGTTAATTCTAATCTGAGTAATTTTTTACTGTAAGAAAAAGTTCACACTCACTTTATCGAAGCATTAACTTATTCAACCTGAAAGATGACTTAATACAATGTGAATACTGTATAAAAATGACAAAAGTGTTGAAATATATATATATATATATATATATATATATATATATATATATATATATATATATATATATATATATATATATCGTAATTTAGTTTCTAAATCTCTTTATTTTGTATTTGACAGTCGATTAGTTTGCTTAAGGGATGATGTATAATGTTGTGGAGAAATTTCAGTTCATATCACTCTACTTAGTTCCTTATTGCAATCTTTCTTTCATACATTACCACCTCTGAATTAACTACTTTCATGAATCCGGTATCCATCTTGTTGTGTTAATGAGGTATGGCAACTTGAACCGATGCATATATGTGCCTGGTCCTATATTGTAGCTGACTGACTCTACTTAGTAACAGATCATTGATTTTTAATCTTTAGATTTTTATCTAGGTAATGGTTTATACTTAGCTTTTTAGTCTCTAAAACCATATATATATATATATGCTCATTTCAAATAAGGGAGAAATAAATGTATAGTAGTAGAATAAATAATGTTTTCCCAACAGTTTATTGAATTTTTATTGATTGTTTACCTGACAGTTTGTATATCTAACAATTTTCACACAAAATTAATATAAATTGTTTCTAACACAACACACAAAGTAAATAAAACGGAGAAATATTTTAATATTTTGAAAGTGAATTACACTCCAAATTAATTCCATATACTTGAAATGAGCGTAAGAACATCTACAACACTTAGAAACATCAACATTCTAATCTCATTGAAATCAAAAAAAGTGAGTCAAATAAAGTTTAGACTCTGATAAACAAAAGATACATATCAATAATTTAAGTTGTTCTCATTATCGAGTGGAGAAATTTTCAGTGTCTTCTTAACTATTAATTAATCAATCAAATACATAGCCTTACTGTGATAGACAAACTAAATCTATAACTTATAATATTTATCAAAAGACAATGTGATCAATTGAATTGTCAATTAACCTCCTTAAATTATTACAACGTATAACATCCTGCTTTCGTCAACACACAAATTTGATTTGGTTGACATTCAGAGTGGCTGATGTCAAACAAATGCTAGTTATTTAAATGAAAAATAAAATAACAATCGCTACTAGTCTTCTGAAGCCATTTACATTGATTGCTTAGACTTTATCAAAGTATTTCAAATATTGAAAATCCGTTTTTGCTATAAAACAGTAACTTTGCGAGATTTTAAATAGAGTCATCCAATACACAAAATAATGGTACAATGAGTCGTGTAAATAAAAGTGATCTTGAAACTGTGTATTAATAGTTGAGTCATTTCTTTTAGAATATAATTAAGATCTCACAAATCAGTGGCATAAAAACAACGAAGTTCGCAAAAATAAAAATACTGTTCATACTTTTCTCTCTTCGTACACTCGAATCTAAACTAAATTTCCATTAGATGCATGTATACTATGGCTATTATCGTTCAGTTCTAAATGACCGAAATCAAGTAAGACGTGCATAATTCTTTGTACCTAAATTTGATTAGACCGACAAAACATAGTTTCTAATAGAAAAAGTTTCATAAAACCAGACCATAGTATGAACTAAAAACTTTTTGAACAATTAAAATACATTTAAAAATTATGTACACTTTTCTGTGGATGATTAGATAGAGCATTCACGAATCACACAATGATTTAAACGAGGAGGAAAAGTTTACTACAGTTCATAATAACTCCTAATCCAACAGTTAAATGACTTCACCCGTTCACTTTACTTTGTAAAGTATTTTGCACTGAACAACTCATGTAGTAATGCACCTTGGAGATATAGTTTGGTAAAAACTTTAATAGTTAAGAACGTGAAAAGACGAATAGACGCGATTCACATTTATAATTATTGATTGGAAATACTAGCGTGAAAAAATCCATTGAGAACTAAATCCTTGAAGATTGACAACGAACAATCATAGGGATAGAACCTTTAATCTATGAAGACTATTCTTTAAGGATTGAGAAACATTACAGAAAATTATATAGGTAACAGTCACAAGGGAGGGAACAAAATGATTAACAAACCCAGCTTTGTAACCACGTTTAGTCATAAGAGAAAGATCGTAGCATGAATTAACATACACCATAGTAAGATATATAAATGTCCGAATCGATTTTCACTCCAACCTCTCGAAAAAAATTAGTAGCTGACTTCTAACACAATAGGGTCTCACTTACGAGTTAATTACTGCTTCTAAGCAGAAATCGATTTCCAGTATGAAGAAATATTCATGGAATTACTGAAACATCTCTAATTACAGGATATTCGTAATCTCAAGCAATTACTACTTGTTGAGTATTCCACTACCTCAATATCCGTACATGGGTAGTTCTGTCGTAACCAATATAAATGATGATGCTGTATCAAAATATATAGTATCATTAAAAACAAAACTGAGTTGAAAAACAAGAACTAAGCCATGCTCTGAGTTTTGAAACTCAGCACTCAAGTGACTAATGCATAAAAATGCAAGCTAGTTGGCTGCATTATACCATGGACTAATAAACCATCATATGGAAACATTTGTTTTGATGGTTATACCACAATCAACTGTTTTTCGAAGGATGAAATACTGGTTGCCACATTTTTAAGAAACCACTGGGAAGCCTGATCTATCATGAATATGAGTAACCTTAGATCTCTCAAGGAACACAAAGAAATTAGAAGTGAATTGTTAGTAATGTGATCGGTAAGTTGTAAATCATTGTGTGAAAAACAAAAAAAAGGTTAAACTAACTAGAAAACCCTTCGGATATTTCCGATACAAAACGCTAACTGTAAACCAACTAACAACTAAACGAGAAAACCACATTATTTGGAATTAACTTACCTTATAATCATAAATTTCTTCACGTTTTAGTGGACTAGAATGCATATCATAAAACCCTTCATAACCCATTGCCATCATTTCAGTCATGTTCGTTTGATATAGATTCAACGTGAAAAAGTCAGGAATTATAAAGTACAACTCCAAATATAATTACACGCTGGCTCAGGAACGACTACATTAGAGGACGAAGTGCTCACCTCAAATAGCTCCGAACTGATTCAGAAATTGCTATTTGTCTCACACGATGGCTTATTGAACTCAGAGAATGTTTTTGATTGGTTAGGAATTTAGCCTTGATAACAAGATAGACCTGTCCCAGTGGCCTTGTGTCCGATTAACCAAACAGCTGTAATAAAAATACTATGGACTAAATGATATATCGCTGTCTACATAGTAGTCAGAGCGTACGATACACACATATGAGCAAAAGCATTTAGAAAAATTTTAGTTGCAAATGAATTCACGTGGGACATATTTCAGTCGACTAATCATCCCTAAGACAACTATTACCTGTCTTATTCATGCCTTAGAAATAACAATAATCCCTCTCCTCTAAATTTTAAAATGACTCACCCTAAAAAAAATGACAGTTTAGGCATTAAAAAGGGAAAGTAATAAAGTCTACGGCGAAATTATTAGAGAAAATGTGAGTCATTTCCACTCAATTTAAATTATTATGGTCTATGGTTAGTTGACTAAAATTGATATCAAGTGGTCATATTCTATTATATCCATATATATATTTTTAATTATTTTAGCCCCATCTGTAAATACAAGTTAAAAATTGAGCAATAAATCTACTTAACATTGTTGATGAGTTAGGCTAACTTACTTTACAATTAATGGTATGATTTAATTAACTAAATTTTTACACAAGCTTGACATTGATAGCCTTTGGAGTTTCTTAACTGGCTGTTAGACAGTTTCTACTTTACATTACAGTCATTAAACACATTACATACATTAATCTTTGAGATACTGTTGTGTGTGTTTTTTTTGACGAGTGATTTACTTTCCTTGTTTGGTATACAGAACTAGGGTAATTAGCCAATTAATCATAAAGTTGACTAATTTAGCTTAGTAGTCATTTGAATGTTTTTATTGCTACTTCCAAACTATCAGTAAAAGTTTAACGGTCTATATACTGGCGGCCTGCTTGAATATCTGGGCTACCTGTTCCTCCGATCTACATATTTCATCAAGTTATCTGATTTGTTGCTTGTTTTAGTTCATCATTATGTCCATTGTGCACACAATCTATTCAGGCGCGTTTATGAAAAGTTTACAACCTTTCGCTATACGTGATATAAAAAGGTACAATCATCGACATCATGGTGGCTGGCAATATGCATTGAAACGAACGAACATTAATCAAATGTGGATTACCGAACTCCTAACATCTAACCGGTCATCATTCAAAATTTATCGTCACAATAGATCAAGGTATAAGAAAAGGAAACTTGTTGAAATACTTTATGCTGAGAATTCTATGTTGTACCAAAAATATAATGTTGAATAAAGCTTCTAATAATAATAAATAAAAAAAAAATATTGATATTTTCCAGTTTCATTTGACTTAAATATTTTACATAAATAGATGGAATAGCTCACAATAATAGAATAAATATATCCACCAAATCATAATTGAGTTACATAATCAATCTTTAATTTCGTTCATTTTATATATTCCATTTTAAGAAACCAGATCAATTATTGATAGATGATGATGTTGTTTAATCTTCTCAAATGTACACTAATTAACTGTAATAAAAAAGATTTCTTCAAATTTCTCAAAACCATAAAATATCACATTATTCGACTGTTGCCAGTAATAACATACCTATACAAATGATTCCCTTCCCTTAGAAAATATTGGAAATATCAAGCAGATGACATATTAGTTAATCAAGGAAAGTGAAAAAATACAGTCGATAACATTTTAAAGTGATTCAGTTAGATTATTAAATGATCTACTACTTATTTATTTAATTAGTAGTAATGCGCTTGTATGAAATCTTGGAAAAACCATATATTACACACATTTGGAGTTACATAAACCAAGAGATAAAGTTTTCAGTAGTTCTTTGTTAAATTTAGGTTGTTATGTTAGAAATTCATGCCAAAATACAGTAATGAATCTTAATTTATTTGATATTTTTAAATAAAACACAAAATGTTTGTAAATCATGAACTTCCTTTTACCTTCTTTAAGTAACTTAATACTGAATAAATAAGTTTAGCTTAAAAACTAACTCCAAATTTTCAATACTATCGGTAAAAAGGAATTCTTCATCCACAATACTTTTTTCGGTGAATTTTATTTTTCTTTAAAGGTGATAATCATTTATAGATGACACTTAAGTGGTTGGAAGCAGTCGTTAGGATACTCTTGGATTTAAGTTTCGTGTTTGTTGTCACTCCTCGTCATGGCGTACTTATAGTCTTCAGGGAATCGATGCTACTTGTGTTACTATTCAGTTTCATAGTTTGAAATATTACCACTAGCTATTCGAGTTACAACTGACCTCTCATCGACTAATATATTTATACGAATTGATCACTGAGTTATAACCAATGTCATACTCGTCTAGTCATTTAATGCTGATCAAATTCTAGCTTCCAGGTTGAAATGTTGACATCTGACATCTCAACTTAATACATACAGTTTTAAAGCGCTTAGACTACCGGTTGCATTACAACTTAATCAATAGAGTCCGATCAACACTAAGAAATGAACTAACTTGACATTGGTTACTACCCTACGACCAATCAACTATAAATGTAAGTACGACATATCCATGAATCTACGCCTAAAATTAACACTTCTACTAAGTAAGGTAGTAAAATGTGGAAAACGGGAAAATTTCTACGACTTGTATTACCATTAAAAGTGATGTATTTAGACGAAAGTACCAAGAATAGGACAGTTATTAGATGACTAATTCACCTATTATGGTCTAAAATCCGAGTGACCATATATCTGACCAGTCAACATTTATATTTCATTTTCCCCCATATATATATTCGCCTGTAGCCCTTTTAGGGTTACTGCCAACCCAATTCTGACAGCCAGATCAACAGTTAATTTAAGTACATCGAATGCCTGGACAACATGGGAGACTGGAAGGACCTATTAAATGGCTGCGTAAATGAGGAGATACAACTTAGCCGTTCTCGGAATGAGTGAAACCCATTGATCCCAAACTGGACAGAAAAGATGAGCTTCGAGAGAGGTATTGCTAGGCATTGATCATAAAGGAGAAAACGCTTCGCACACGAAGAGATGCACAGAGGCTGTCCAGAGAAGCACAAAAAGCACTTACAGGATAGGAATGTCATGGATTCATGATCATCAAAGTATCATTCGAAATGAAGAAAGAAAGAATCGCAATGAATGATATCCAGTGCGATGCGCCCATCAATGAGGAAAGGCTGAAGTCGTTCATAGAGAAGTGACTAGGAAAAGACATGGCCATCCTGATGGGAGATCTAAACGCCAAAGTCGGAATGAACAACACCATGTATGAAGATATCATGGCTAAACAGATAAGAAGAAAAGAACGAGAATGACGAGAAATTCGCAGACTTAGGTGTCTTCAGCAAAATGGTTATAGGTGGTACTATATTCCTTACAAACGAAAATACCAAGCTACACGGGTCTCGCTGGATCATAGAGAACCAGACCGATCATATTTACATCACAAAGATTTAGACGTGAGAACAGAGAGAGGAGCTAACATAGATTCAGATCACCGGTTGATGATAGCCAAGATGAACCTAAAGCCAAAGAAACACTGGAAAACTGAAAAAAAAACAGAACTACAAAAGTTTAATACAGATTTGATATATATATATCACAGATGATAGAATACTATAAACACTCTATGGTAGAAGACTTATTAAATAAGACGTTTCAAATCAATCACAGACGAGATTTTCACTTTCATCCTTTGAGTTACTAATCAGTCCTTAATCAACAGTTATTAACATCTCAAATCTCACATAGGTTGAGTGAATTTTTGAATGCTGATAAACTATTTGTGAATGAGAATGAACATATTTCTCAGCAAGTCATCTATAACTGAAACTTTTGTGTTCACAATTGCACTGGAAAGCCGTTCATTTTCAGTATAACCCTAAATGATGTTAAAAGAGTACATCATTAATCAGTTTGTTTTGTCGATGTTTATCATGAACCATTCTAAAGTTGAAGAAAGTCCACTTACGTTATAATCAACAAAAATTTTATATGAGATTACATAACACCCAACTGCGTCACAAGACAAGCCCTCACATGAAATTTTGAAGGTCAAAGGAAAAGAGGAAGACCAAAGAACACATTACACCGAGAAATGGAGATAGACATGAGAAAAATGAACAGGAATTGGATGGAAATAGAAAAGAAGGTCCATGACAGAGTGGGTTGGAGAATGCTGGTCGGCGGCCTATGCTCCATTAAGAGTAACAGGCGTAAGTAAGTAAGTAATTAACATAACAAATTCGTATTTTCTTAACTATTAACCCTTCACAATTTTATTTATAAATATTTTCATTGAGAGCCTAAAAGACGAAAAACAATTTTCTATCGGCTTTTGCTTTTCCTGTGTTCGTTTTTATAATTTCTTAAAAAGACTAAATATCAGTTGATGTGATGTGTGAAAAGTTTACAAGCTACAATGTCTAAATAGGTACGTTTCTTAACTATATATGCTCTTAAAATCTAATTATTGTTCCAACTGGATTTTCATAGAAACCCAACCATTCTAGATACACACCGGAAAAGCAACATTGTAAATCATTTGAAAATTAATCATGTAATTGGTAACACAAAAGCCTATCCAACTTAAAAGTTTACCTCAATTATAAACGGATTCATCTGCTGCTTGATTTTTACATTGTGCTGATATACCTAATATAAGTGAAATCATACTGCTTGTATTCCATAGTAATATATTTACCTATTGTTTTACCGGGCAAAATTAATTAACTTTATTTTCATTCAGTGAAGATCAGATTTAAGTTGTTTAATCTTCGTTTTCTAATTGTGAAGATTGTCACCGAATAAACTACTTTCATTAAGGTTGTTTGTAAATTCTTAGACAGTGTTTACAAATAACAAGAGATTGATTAAAAACTATTAGTCATAAACATAAAAACACTTATTTTCAGAAGGAAAGCATATACACTTTCTGTCAATGTTTCAATATGGTTAATT